GGTTCGCGCGGTCTATGAAGACGGTCTTGGAGAGGGCCATGAACCAGCCGAGTAGGGGGACGTATTTCAGCGACTTCTTGGCCGTGACAGACGTGTACTTGGGGAACATGCAGCCAAGCATGAGGACGTCGAGTTCGCTGCAAGAAGTGTCAGCGCCGCAGTCAAGAGTTGGCCTAGCCAAAGGACCTGGTGAACCCACGTTTGGTGGTTGCCCACAAAAATGGCGGGACGGTCCCTGAGGGCGTCTTCTCCACTGAGACCGCCCTCTTTCTTCATGCTCCCCGTCACTCTGAATGTTACGCCGGTGCACAACCACATGACCCATTTGAACGCCCGCGCAACCGTCCACTGGATCAGTCCACCATAGCCAACGAGGCGCAGAGGTATAGCCACAAGGGTGCCGTACAGCGCGCAGCAGAGCATGAGGAGCATGGAGCTTATTGCGAAGGCGTAGTACGACACCAGCTGGGCGGGCTTCGCGGGCAGCACGAGCGAGAGCAGGCGCATGGCGATGACGAGCGCGGGCGGCATGGCGGCGAGGTAGATGAGCCAGCCCATAGCGAAGGCTCTCGGCGGGGAGGGTGAGGGAGAGAGGGAGGAGAGGTGCGTGTGTTTGTATGTGTTCGTATTGCGGGTTGAAGAGAGTCGGAGCTTGGTGGGGACATTTTTTGTCACGCGCCGAGGTTCGCACCCAACTCGCTAAATGTCATGTGTACCGCCATGCCATTCATCGTGACCCCTTCTCCTCCACAGAATGCCCTGAACTGGTCCGCACCAGCACGTCGTCTCTCCGCCGCCTTGACCAAGTTATCGCTGCGACGCAACTGGTCGTGATATATACAAGCAAGAGAGGAAGCAATATCCACCGCCAGGCTACCATGCATCCGACCCTTAGTTTGATCTCGGCGGCTTGCGCTCCGTCAGCCAGAGGAAGGTCTAGCACGGCCTTGAACCACGTCTCGGGCGTCCATCTCAGGTACGGGTAGTTGATTCCGACTGTGTTGGAGGCGATAGGTTCCTTGATGTGCTGGCCTGTCGTCTGGTACGTCACTACGAAGACGAAGATGAAAGCCGACAAACAGAATACACTTCCGAGCAACGACAGGATAGCAAGGGCGCTAAGACTTTTTCGACCCTATTCACACTTTTAGCACCCTGTTCAAGAGATCGTGGAGATTATTACCGTACCTGTCCAGTCTTCCTCATCCTCCATGCTGTCCACATGCCGAGAATGCCCAAGAAGAATCCATATACTGCTGCGCCGTTGCTCTCGTGCCCTTGGTCCGTCCACACATTCTTGGGTTCGACATTGATTTGGGTCGGATTTCCAGGCCAGTTCACATGATAAACATGCACCTGATGCTTCTGGTCATGTATCCAAGCCACCACAGAACTGATCAATCCGAATACGGTGATGGATAGAGCACAAAGTAAAGCGCTCGATGCGAACAGCAACCAATTTATCTTTTGTCGTCTTGCCATCAATGTCATAGAGGCGGGCGCTGTGCGGGGAGAAGGTTGTAATAATTCCATATTGACCGAGCGTAGGAGTGGGTATAATACGAGGAGAGGGACGAAAAAGCACTTCTCAACGGTTCATGCTCAAGTATTATACGCTTCAGATCTGGGGCTGAGTTTTTCCTCCCGTCATCGTGGCACACATTCGGGCTGGGTGGATGAGCTCAGCACCTTTGCAGCTTAGTTGTCGCAGCCTTGAACCACTTCAGGCACGCTACCTCTCTCAGATGTCTAATATTAGCAGAGAACATGGGATCATCAGCAAGCATGTCGGCATCTTGATGCTCAGTCTCCTACTCGTTCAGCTTGGCACGTTTGGAGACAGAGCGGATGACGCCAGGGGAGCCATGTTGGTCAGCTCTATCGAAGTAGGAAATATGCGCAATTCAGCATAAAATCCTGACGATTGCCTGTCTTCGAAACAATGGTGAGATGGCGCTGGTGCACTGTTTCTTGTTTCGAAACATGTCAATATTTGCGAAACTTGGTGGCCTCTGCGTTCACCCGGGGAACAGACAGTAGAACGGGGTAGATATTGGTGCACTCTGAGAACGGGAAGGCAACTGCACAATCCGAAGCGCGATTTGTTCGTCACCAAGAGGAAGCAGCAGTCGATGGGGCGTCTTTGGATGGTTGTGAAGGTATTGGTCGGGTTCCTGACGCGCTTCGGGTCGATCCTGCCCGCCTCGGAAGAGCTGGTGGAGCTAACCCAACCAACCACCCACATTTTCACGACGCGTCTCAATACCCTGGACCCATCACCTAGGCGGCCGACCAAGCATGAGCTTTCACACGTGCTGCAATTCTACACTCGGCGGTAAAAGAACGAGACGGCAGAGATACAGGCCGACAGCTCTACTCGATCGCTCTGTCTTCGACCGGTGATGCGACCTGCGGCACGTCTGGGCGGCGGCTAGTCGTCACACACCAAACACGCGCGTTGACACACGGTACAACCTTTCGCGCTGCTTGCTCCAACAACCATGTTCGATTCAACACGGAGGTCTCTACTCGCGACTTATGCATTTGAACCTCTCAGTCTCGAGCACAGCTTGCCAACAATACTTTACGCCGAGAATTATATGTGTGGCCTCGGCTTGCGCAAGCGCACAAGTCAAACCGCGTTTCCTGATCCCATTCTTCGCAACAGCTGTTCGCATTCGGTCCGGTCCGCGCTTTGGCTTCCCAGGCACCACGGCCGTTCGGAGGACCGGCATGATGGTGGGCGGCTATCGTATAGTCTACCTACAATCCATCGCATATGGGCAGCGCAGAGCCAATACTCTAGGCTGCTAACGATTACACTTCCAGCCTCTTACTCAATCTGTCCTTGATCTGATAGCAAACACGAGCCGAGATACAGGCAGACCCTGGTTGTGGTAGGTGTTCGATTGGATATCGAGCTGTAGTATGAGCACGGCGTAGCTAAAGCGATATGCAAGCACGGCACATACTTCTCATGAACTCAACAGGTCATGAGCAAATGTTTATATCCCTTCATGTGGGACTATTTCTGGTATGCGGCACTCATTATTTTTACTCACTCTCTACTCTCTCATTCGCTTCCTGCAGCCCTGCGTGCCTGGCCGGTCCAGGTTCAACACCAGGAATACATTCTTTATTAATATTTGTTAAAAAATAACTTTGGATTGCACCCATGCGGCTGCCTTACCGGTCCATCAGCAGCATCCAGCCACTCCCTAGCATATATACCACCTTTCCAGCCAACTACGGCGGCTCCGACTCAACGAACACGTCTGGAATTCATTCCGGAACATGTCTCATCAGAAAGATCGAGGATGGGATCGAGGCGGTCCCTTTCGAAAGGAGTAATGTTCTCTCGGCTCCTATACTCAGTCCAGATCAAGAAGAGAAAGAAGTCTTCGTGCCGTCGTGGGAGGAAGTCCATAATTTCAACAAACCTCTGCCTAGCCTTCCAAGATGCATATGGCAGCGAATGTCCACGCGGCAACGTATTTTAGCTTTGCTGAGTTTACAATTTCTGATGCTCCTTACGATTGGGCTGAGTCTTCTGGCTGTCAAAGATCGATCCTCAACCAGGTAAGATGTACGAAGTCAAATCATAAGGACGCCTTTAACACAAAATCTACAGGGATGAAGATGCGACAGCACACGTTGCTAGCAATGGCTCTTCAAGTACCAACACTACCAACAACCTCCGACGTGGAATCTTTGCGTTGCCTGTTGAACTTCCGCAGCAACAGAGTATGGCATGTCTGGCAAACAAGGATCAGATAAATGCGTGGCAATGCGCGTCTGAAACAACCTTTCAGCTAAGCATACTTCCAGCTTTGGCGGGCAACGACAGCACGATCATGATAGCGGTGGGGTTATCGGGAAGTAACGATACTGTCTGCCATGGCGAACGCATACCGAACATTCCACCTTTGGAGCTTCTAGCAATTAATAATGCTGAGCACGAAAACGATTTTGCCTATCACTTCCGCACTACCTACGACAAGATTGTATTGCTCAGCGAGGATGAGCTATCTCTGGCTGAAGAGCTACCGATGCATCCTGCGACCTCGAACACTCTATTTCAACCTGGGAATAGTCTGTGGCAGTGCATCTTCAAAGAGACCACTATTGAGGGTTACATCTACCCTACCAGAGCTACGGCTGCTAGCGCTACCAACACTGCATCAGGTACGGTTGATGTGGATAATTCCACTACGCTGCCGGATTTCCCCTACGCCGTTGAGTTGGTCGAGGAGTGGACGCCAAATGGAAAGACCCCTTATTGTTCGAAAATGACTATGAAATCGGACGGTACCCTTGCTCCACTTTCTGAGGAGGTGATGTTGCATGTGGACAATTCCAAGGGTAATGTTCCAGTTTCTACATCGCAACGTATGGGACGTATCAGGCATCGAGAGCAACGAGAAGAGACGCATTCAAGCCAGTGTCAGTGTCAATGGGTGGTCAGCTGACGCAGGGTTTTCGATCTTACCTTCGACAGACAATGCCATAAGTTCGCCAAAATCGTCTTCTTTGCGCTGATCCGACGTCTTCATTACATTTCCATTTAGGCATGCTTACATCAAAACATTACCAAAACAGCTTACGTGTCTTTATCCGCGAAGAACAGGTGGTCGATTGAATATTGGGCCCATGGCTCCACCCAGGACCCTTTTTCCTGGGTACACCCACACATGACATGCCACACTGAGTAGACGACCAGCGAAATTTGTAATTGCCCTGCAGATCCCACAGCGTCTTCCGCGTCCAGGCCTCTCCCCGATCACGTTGTCCCATCGTCGGCATCCGATGGCACATCACCGGGCTCTATCTTTACTCACTCATCAAGCATTTCGATTGTCTGAACACTGTCTTGCACGCCCACCTGCATTCAATTATCCAGCAACATCGTCGAAGATTGCTAGGACAGGGAACGAGTTTTGCGTCGCAATCATCTACTATACTATTGAAACCAGATCAAGCAAGCCAGCCTTTGGCATACGATGGGCCCCAAGATCACCGAATCCAGGCGAGGCTCTTCAGCAAGAGATGCTCGTGCACAAAGCAAGAATGTTGTGCCTCCAAGGACTCCCGAAATCATACAAATACCTGGCCGGTTCAGCGCGCTTGGAACTGAAAGCACTATAGCAGTAGTGGGAAGAAAGCAAGAGACTCGCGCACGAGTGAAAGTTGAGCCCGAGAGTCCCGATAACACGGTATACCCAACCTCGCCAGTATCCCGACGTCGAGACTACAAAGAAGAAGCGAAAACAGTCAAACCCGGAGGGCCTTCCTCCCGCCATCATACAGTTCACATCAAGGTCGAAGACAAAGCCGATCTCGAAACACCACCACATTACCCATCCTTCACAACAGCATGGTCCAAATCGCCACTCCGCGTACCAACCCCCCTCGCTGAACAGTTCTACCGATCTACAGTAGTCAAGAAGGAGAGCGATATTTCCTTAGTACATAGGGATGTACTGTCACTTCGCAGCCAAACTTCAGGTCCGTCGGTTAGCTCGAGCTACAAGAGGTTCGCTGTCGAGACTTTCCGTGACTTCGACGCGTCACACCCAGCCTCCAAAGTCAAGATAGAAGAGGAACCGGAAACGGGATACTACATTCCGACAGGAGCGAGCAAAGTCAAGCATGAAGCGGGATCTTCCCCCACAAACCTCCACCACCGTCCCAGCCCCACAGACTATCCCAATCCATACCACAGAGCGCCTGTAAAACATGATCCAGCATCAAACTCTTCACCCGACCTCAGGCGCACACGAAGCCACTGCACCGTCGCACCAACGCCGGAACTCCGCTCCGAAACAAAGTTCTCTTACCTCCAACCCATCACACCTACACCCTTCAGCACACCCTACGGCCTCGTCAACCCCTACCCTCCCGATCCATCATCATACCTCGTCCCTGGGTCCTTGCTCGAAGGAGTTCAACGGCGGACAAAGTGGGGCCAGAGAGACAGACGAACGAAGCGGCAGCCGCCAGCTCTACAGCCGCGAGGTGTGCCCGCAGCCGAGGGTGTTGCTAGTGACAAGAATAACGCTACACATGCAGGAGCGGAGGGGACTGGAAGTGGCGGAAAATGTGCATGGTACAAAGTTTCACTCTGCAAATGCTCCAAGTGGATTAGTTGTATCAAGGCGAAGTGCTCGCGAGCTGCTAAAAAGAAGTGGTGGCAGAGAAGTAAACAGCATCAGTACACCGCGGAAAGGAGGGAAGACAGTGGGTTTTATGTTGTGAGGCGGGAGATTGGTCCTAATCTCAGGGTTACGGTTAGAGATGTCTGAAGTATGTGTGAGCGATGGTCGACTGTTTCTGGGAGTCATTGGCGATGACGGGTGGCATTGGGGCGGGAACGTCAGCTCTGTTATCGGGAACTCAATGACCAGCCTCAGTCTGAGTCAAAGGCGCACTCTATTCATTCCGTCATCAGGGAAGGTGCTTAGGAAGGTGCATTTGGTGCTGCGTGGAATGGTCCTGTATTGTGCACACATACTTTACACGCGATTCGCCAGGTAGTTGCACCAATTCTCACCGGGATTACAAGAAGCAATCCCCATGTAATCACAAGAATAACAGCGCAATATTAATATAAAATCTCCATGGTGCCTGCCAATATTAAGCGATCGGTGTTGTCATGTGGACCCCGAACAGCTGGTTGCCAATACAGAAGGTGCAAGGGCTGGAGTTCAATCTCGCTCTTTCGCCCCCACACCTCGACCACAGCCTTGTGCAACATCACAAGGATGAAACCGCGATGCCAAAGAAACGGGTATCAGTGCACCTCATATACAAGATGGCTCGCTGTCCAGCCCCCTGCCACTTCCCACTTTACTGCGAAAGTTTGCGTCTCATCTTCGCCATCTGGCCGACATGAGTTCTCAACGTTACAGCTTACTCGGTGTGCCTGGAGCCCTTGCTTGGGAGATGGGGGAGTATGAGTCCGAGTACCGGTAAGCTTCGCTCTGCGATGAGACCTGGGTTTGTGACTGACAATTGCAGACCGCAGGGGCTCATGACGGAGGTCTCCTCAGTCAGCCTGCTCTCTGAGCACGGCTTCGCCTCAGAATACGATCACCAACAGAACCTTGAAAGTACTCAACATCAACACAATGGCAATGTCAAATCATATCCCCAGAATGAGAGCGTCAACGACTACTCGCAGAGTTCTGGTGCGGGTGCGGTCGATCACCCGTCCGAAGTCTATTTGCAAAACCACGCAGCCAGTCTCACCTCAGAGCATATGGATGGTGCGGATTCTAATATCTCACCAGAAGCGGGCATCGGTTCATTCGGTCAACCTCTTCGCCGCTTTTACTTCCGCACGATAGTCGGCATCCTTGGACCGGTAATCGTAGTATCTTATTTCATCACCATCTGGCGCATCTACCTCGCCTCACTCCACCCCGACTCGACAGCAGCCTTCGGACCACCGGGTGCCAAATGGGTCTTCTACGGTTGGTTCGTCGCGGGAGTGATCGGAATGAGCTTAAGTCTCTACGGACTGGCTGGCGCAGAGGCTGGCATGCTTATGGAACGAACCTGGAGAGTTGAAGATGCCATGCGTCTTATGTTGCATGCTGACAACACATGATCTGGCCCTGGGGGCTGGATGAAAGCAATCAAATGGGTTGTGCAAAGACGCAGGGCGCGCAACCAGCGTAGCAAGATCCCTTCTCGGCTGTGGTTCGTTCTAGCACTTCCAAGCGTGGTTGTCTTCGTCGCTTGGCCCTTATCAGGTCTTTGTCTTGAGATTACCAGTGGTTTCCTTCATGGTAAGCCTGGGCAAGGAGCGGATGTTACCGGATTCGTTCAATCGACGTTCAACGCCGACCCTGGGGGCCGTAGGCCGTCTAGAGGATCCTACATCGGCGCACGTGTTTTCGGACACGGTGCTGTTTATACACCTGAGAACTTCAATCGATCGAAGAAGGAGTTTTTGAAGAATGTTCCTGTGATACTGCCGAACACTGAGAGCGTCGAAGAAGTATTTTTGACCGCTCAAGGTGAAACGCCTATCGAGGGAAAAGCTTGGGGTCTGTTGCTGCATTACGACTGCAACATCGTAGACAAATTGTCTGACTTCGTTCTCTTAAAAGACCGTCGATTTTCAACGGACGTCTGGCGAAGCAACAGGGTTTTTCGTGATTTCGAACAAACAAGAACCGCACGAAGTGCGGATGAGGATCCTCCCATCGACAAATCTCCAACATCAGCCTTCCCGTTAAGAACGACCGGCGCCCCGGGTCTAGCTGCTACCTCCAGCATCGACGATGATGACCGAATCAAGTACAAGTCATACCGCCTCCATGACAACAATACCCTCGTGGAGGTAAAGAGAATGTCCGGATGGAATTTCGCTGGACTATTCGAGCCCGGATTACTGGGATGGGCTTTATATATCGGTGGAGTTATAGAGACTGCGTATCAATCCCTGTCCCCACCAACAGGCTCAAAAGACGAGCCTCCCTGCGGTTGGTCTAGTGAGAGGGAAGACCCACCAACGTCTTACTGCTACCATGATCTGCAAGAGGATCCTTCAAAACCGTATCCCGGAATCGAACACAAGACTACTTTTGAGGTTCTGTTGTGGCAGATACATCCCCTGTCTTTTGTTTCTATGGACAGCACCATCGTCCGTAATATTGAGTCGCTGACTGGTGAGTACGTCGATGTTTATGGTAAGAAACTCGAAGCTATCGGTGTATCCTGTACGTCAAGCAGCAGTGTAGGCTCAGCAGACATCGACGGCGTGCGATCTACCTACTCCAACTTCCAACGGAGCGACACTCCGGTACCTACTATGAAGAATGATTGTGCGAAACGCTTTGGCGCAGAGACACTCGCGTGTACACTCAACATCAAAGACGATGGTTGGCTGAGATGGCTGTTTGAATCGATAGGCCTACCGTCACCGTTTGACACATCTATAGTGAATGCTGCAGAGATTGCTGATGGCAACCTGAGAGCCATTGCTCAACTCGAATATCTGCAAGCCGACCAACTTCGGCAGGTTCTTCTACAAGCTTACTCCACCTACGCCATCAAGCTCATGTACAATGACGGTCGAGACTTCATCGGAATCAACAGAACAAGCCTCAAGTCACACGTCCCCGACCTCACGGCTTTTGTCGCTGGCACCGTAATTGAACCGGGCGTTATGCCAGCCGCTGTTCCTGTTGCTTTATTTGGATTGTGGGCGTTGATCAGCTCAGGTCTCTGCCTTGTCTATGGCTTCCGGCGACGATGGGGCGCGATTCTGGATGGGCATACAATGTTCAGGCTTGGGGCCGAGTTGCAGCAGACGTACCGAGCGAAGCTTCAACGGTATTCTACAACTGCTGATGTTGAAGAATGCGAGGCTTTGCATGAGATTCCAGGGTTCGTTGCCGACATGGAACCTAATGATGATGTAGGGAGGATTGGACTTATGGATGGGAAGCCGGCTAGGAAGGACAAGTTCTATCGGTAGTATCTCACGCATGGCAAAGTTTAGTAGCGAGTCTCCCTAAAGACTCACCTTCAACGGACCAAGGAATTTGATCAAAACATGTCTTTGTCGTCAAAAATGTAGTGTGCGTATCGAACGCTCTACCACAGAAATAATATTTACAACCAACGTATTTTCCCCTTGCATATATTTTCCCATGTCATCAGTATCCCGTCAAGCGATCTAGAAAGCAAGCAAGACAGCACCCATAACAGCACCGACAAGACCACCGGCCTTGACATGGCTCGCCGCACCGGTGAACTGCGATGGTGGAGCAGAGAAGGTAGCGTTGCCAGAGGGCTGGGGCAGCGCACCAGTAGGCGCAATTGATGGCACAACAACACCAGGTGCAGACCTAGTGTCGATTTCCAGACCGGACTCGGTGGGGTAGGGAGGAGATGAAGCTGCCGCGGAAGTGATCAGACTGGAGATGGGCACGGCAGGGTACTCAGTCGTGAAGGTGGCGGGTGGTGCGTTGGTGATGGCTGGGGGAGCGCCGGTGACGGTGACGGTAGCAGTACCGCACTCGCAAGGCTCATCTTCGCTGTCGCTGCCAGTGGGAGAGTCAGGGCTGCCAGACTCTTGGGGGACAGCGGCGCCGCCGGTTGGGTAGTTGAAGCCGGATCCGCCGTTGCCGCCGGCTGGGACAGCGGGAGGTGTGGGCTTTGCTGCGTCGCTCTCTGTGCAAGTGGTGGATGCACCGGAGGGCTTTGAGTCGGAACCGCTGTCGGAACCGCCTGTGGCGGCTGGGGCGTCGATGCCAGACTCGATGGGAGCTCCGGTTGCAGCAGCGGAGTCCTCGATGGCTACGCTGTTCACAGGAGCACCCTCTGTGTTACCGGCATCGATGACCTTGATGGACTTGAAGTCGCCAGTCTTGTCGGTCCACTCATACTCCTTGCCGGGCGAGTAGTTGATGACCTTGATGCTCTTGACGGTCATGGTAAAGGGCGCATCATCGTAGGTGACGTTACCTCCTGCCCACTGGCGAGTTCCCTCGTCCTTGGAGTCACCACCAGGCCAGTTTCCGAGACGAACATTGCAGGGGGTCTGGGGGTAGTTCTTGCCGCCGTTGGCATCGGCGAAGTTCAATGTGCGGGTAGGTTTGTCGTCAACAATCCAGGTGAGCGATTCAGAAGTCCAGTTGAGAGCGTACTTGTGGAACTCGTTCTGGTTGTTGAGAGCATCAGCCTCGATCATGCGATCGTATGTGGTAGTGTTGCCCTGGATGGTATTAGTCTCCTATAAAAACTAGTACGAATTGTGTTCACATACCTTGCCGAAGTAGTTCTGCTGTACACGGCTGTCTACACCTCCGATCCATTCCCAGTCGACTTCATCCAAGTTGTCAGACTGAAGGACAATGGAGGAGATGATGCCAACGCCGGGAGCTGCCTTCATGACGACCTCGACGTATCCAAAGTGAAGCATGGCCTCGGATCCAATGGTGGGAGCATCACCCTTCTTGGCAACAGTGAACTCAGCACCCTCAGGTCCATACTTCAGGGAACCGGCAGTCTGCTTCCATCCCTTAATAGCATCCTTTCCGGCAGTGAAGTCGGTTTCCCAATTCTGCGGCATGGCAGGGTTGTTAGGGCATTTCTTCTCCATGGGGTTGCAATCGGTGAAGGTCTGAGCGC